ATTTCCTAGACTTGAAATCCATATTTTTTCACGTTTATACATCTTGAGGTCGAGACAATCGATTTGAGGGTTTTTTTACAACAAAAACACCTCTATATATATATATATATATATAAACACATGGGTTTCATATGACCCAAGGATCTCAAAATTTAGCAATAGTTTATAGAATATATTACAAAGTCATGAACACTTTATGTCCCAATATTATGCAAATTGATCAAAAAGATCAAACTATTTTATTCCAAACAAACATAGAAAAATCAAATATGATTGTACCTAAAACCATAAAATAGTCAGATATTCGATTACCACAATCATGGGCATTACAAAATGCCAATCAACCTCAAGAGGTTCCTCAAAATCATATTCCCAATCAAATAATAGAACATCATGATGGTAATATTGAAATTAAATTTCAACAATTACAAATTCAAGATGATATAAATATAAACAGAAAAAGGAATATTAAAAATAAAATACCAAGCAGAAAATCTTATTCTGCTGACCCAAATGTTATAATACTACCACCTCCTACTCAGTCTTCTTCAATACCTAGTTCAGATCTACAATTTCAAGGAATAAGGAGAACAACCGATCATGTTATTATACCTACATACACTCCTGAATCTAATACTATAAATACTACTGAACCTAGTATAGAAGAATTACAAGACATTCAAATATTAACTTTACAAGTAGAAGAATACGACAATTCACATGATAAATACTCAGATGAATATATAGCAGCTTACTTAGCCACTATATTAGAAAGAAAAGAGAAAAAAATTGATCACAATTATATTAAACAAGATTTTATGTCAAATGAAAATAGACATATCAGGCAATGGTATCTGACAAATGTACCATTACAGTTAAGAGAAAAATTACAAGCTAAATATAATCAATTCCTTAAAAAGGAAAGAGAAACAGAAGGATATTTTGTATGGTTAATAAGTAATTATCAACATAAACTTCATATTCCTTCCTCATTTGATGAAATTCAAACAATAAAAGCAAAAACCTATATAAGCACTGATGGTACTACCACTGCTAGTACACATCCACCTGAAAAAAGTATTATACTTAAAACAAAAGTCCCTGTAAAGGATGAACCTACTCAACCCCCATCCTTATATGATATAATAGCTACTCCTTATAAAATCTTACCTAAAGAACTTGGTAAGAAACAAGAATTAATACCTCATATTGTGGAACAAAATAATTATACCAATTTGTATATGCAATCTTTAGGAAAACAAGCAGAAAGGATAGAAAGACTTGTTTCCAAAGAACAACCTTCTGCTACAACTATACCTAAATCTGTTTTGTTCAAACCACCTCCAGAATTGAATAAGAATAAATTTCATATTGGAGACAATAATAAATCCCTTATGGATCAATTGATATCAAAATTATCCCAACTAGATATCAAGGGAATTCCTTCTCCAACAATAACTATTCCTTCTTCACCTATTGTCAATATACCACCTGAATCCTCCGATAAAGGTAAAACAAAAATACCTGAACATGAAACAATGATGCTTCAAGAGGAAGAACCAATCATAGAAGATACAATTCAAAATCAGGAAAAAGCATTTATGAATACTACTCCCATTATAGAAACCATAAATAGAATAGCCTATGGCAAATACTGGAAACCAGCAACAACCTTACCATATCATAAGAGACCTACACCTGTTGATATACAAATGGAAGAAGATGTCATACAACAGGTAGTTTCATACTCAGGCAGATCTATAGTCAATTGGCAAATAGATGGATTATCAGAATTAAAAATATTAGATGTCATGAGACATATGACTATGTATGCTTCTGCAAATAAAATGACAGGCAACCCAGATCAAGAAGTTGCAAGAGCAATAGTTAATGGATTTACTAGCTGGTTAAGAGGATGGTAGGATTTTTATGTAGATGATGAAACCAAACACCGAATCCTCAATAATACTAGGCAATGGACAGCCAGAAATGAACAAAACCAAAAAATATTATATACAGAAAGTGATGCTGTCAACACCCTAATATATACCATTACACTTCACTTTGTAGGCAGTACAGCTTTACTTGCAGCAAGATCGGAAGATCTGCTATCTAATTTACGCTGTCATACCTTATCACATTATAAATGGTATAAAGATGTATTTTTCTCAAGATTATTAATACGCGAAGATTGTCAGTTAGACCACTGGAAAGAAAAGTTTATAGCTGGTCTACCATATTTATTCGCTGAAAAAGTCAAGGAAAGACTAAGGAAAAAACATAATGGAATAATTGTATATTCATCTTATACACTCGGAGAACTCTCTGCAGAAATATGTGCTGAAGGTTTAGCCTTATGCACAGATATGAAATTAAAAAGACAATTAGATAAACAAAAGATCACTAAGCGAAAAGAGCTTGGTGACTTCTGTGAACAATTCGGATATTACCTTGATAAAAACAATATGCCTGACAAGCTCTATAAGAAGAAGAAAAAATACAAAAAAGAAAAATATAAATCCAAAAATAAGAATAAAGACAAAAAGTACTATAAAAAATCTAAAAGAAAACTAATCAAAAAATTTTCTCCCAATACAAAGAAAAAGAGAAAATTACCAGTCTGTTATAAGTGTGGTAAAATAGGACATTACAAACATCAATGTAAATTTAAAAAGAAAATAGAATCATTAAATCTAGATGAATCAATAAAATCGAAATTATATAACATATTTGATTATGATTCTTCATCATCCACTTCTTCTGATTCTTATATTGATCAAATACAAGACGAGGATCTCATGTGGACAGATTCCTCTGATTCCACTGATGCTTCAGAAACACAATCATCCAGCTCAAAAGATGGTGATTGTAGTTGTCCAATACCAACACATAATGTTCACACACTTACCCAAGAAAATAATTTCATTTTAGATATTATTGATAAAATAGTTGATCCAGATGAAAAAAGATCTGTCATTACTCAATTCATTAATATTACAAAAAATAAAGCAAAATCAATTCCTCTGAATAAAACTCCTGATGAATATAACTTTGCTTCAATAATGAAAAGAGTAAGTGATCAACACACTTCTCAACAAAAAGAGCCAACCGTTTCAGATCTTAAACAAGAAATCAAAGAAATAAAAACTGAAATAGTTCAATTAAAAACTAGAATTAAATCATTAGAATTACAACAAATGTCTCAACAAGAGTCAGACACAGATGAATAGATTTTGATGAATTAATAAAAGTTAATCCATCATCAAATATCCCTGAATCATCAGAAGCCAGAATAATACCTCTTCCTTCCGTAAATCTAATAGACAAAATAATAGTCCAAAAATGGTTTGTCTATGTTAAAATAATTGTTGCTCCAGATTGTAATTTTAAAACAACAGCTTTAATAGATTCCGGGGCTGATTTAAACTGTATTAATGAAGGACTAGTACCTTCAAAATATTTTGACAAAACTACTCAAATACTAAATACAGCCGATGGAAGTAGATAATTTATTAAATATAAATTATCAAATGCTTCTGTTTGTAACAATCACCAATGTATAGATACGTCATTCATAATGGTAAAAGAACTCAGCCAAGCAGTAATACTTGGAGTTCCATTTCTTACACTACTATATCCTTTAACTATAAATGAAACAGGAATATCTTCAGTTATCCAAAATATTCCAGTACAATTTAATTTTATACATAAACCAAAATTGAAAGAACTTAATAGTGTCAAAAGTCAATTAAATGATAAAAAAAAATTTCTTTGTACCCTCAAACAGGAAATTAAATACAAAATTATTGAAGAACAACTACATATTACTTCAATACAACAAAAAATTCAATCATTACAACAACATATAGAAACTTCTATATGTAGTGAGCATCCTAATGCTTTTTGGGAAAGGAAAAAGCATAGTATAAGTTTACCTTATGAACCAGAATTTGATGAAAAACAAATCCCTACAAAAAGCTAGACCAATACAAATG